CCTGGGGAGGGGGGGGGGGGGGGGGGCCTGCAGGCCGGATGGCGCCCCGGCCTGAGTCGGGCGGTGGGGGTATATGGTGAGGGGGGGCATGGGAAGGCGAAAGGCTGCAGCGGGAGAAAGGGTTTGGAGACGAGCGGTGATAAGGAGATCAAGTGAATAATGATTAACACCTGTCTGTAATTCCAGTGATTGGGGGAGAGACGAGAGATAAGCGCCCCGCAGACCTGGGAGAGGAGGACAGCTGTATCCGAGAGAGAGTCGGAGCAGAGTGCATGTGTGTGTGTGCAAGACTGTGGAGGCAGAGAGCCGAGCAGCACTTTATTTTTGTTCTGTTTTGTTTTGGGGGGAATAAATAAAGAGGTTTACCCGCCACCCCTGACTTCCTCGTCCTTCATCTCAAACGAACTGTATTACAGAGTCGTTCGTTGTAGTTTTTGAAAAGTGATTTCTGTTAAATAAAATATCTCCTTTGAAGTGGACTTTGAGCTTTGTAACTTTGCAGATCTTTTTTATGCTCAAACAGCAACGTTACAGACTAACTAAAGTTGAAAAAGTGAAAAAGCATAATAGGACCCCTTTAAATTAATGAAAGAACTATGAGTTTCACTTTGTAGTGTATTGTTTAGATTTAATAACTTGAAAAGTAAAGTAAACTTGAAAGTAATTAGTAATCTGATTACTTTTTAAATACAGTAATCAGTAATGTAATCAAATTACAATTTTAAAGAAGTAATTAGTAATTTATAGTGGATTACTTTTTTGAGTAACTTACCCAAAACCGATCCTTACAGAATAAAAGTATTAATTTCTTTTAACAGCAACAAAAAAATCTTACTGACACCAAACTTTTGAAGGGTGGTGTGGCTACTGTTCAAAATAAAGATTGCAGTTGTCAGTCTGAGAAAAACTTCACAGATTTACTAAAAATCATTGCCACACCAGTTGATTAAAGCTCATAGCAAAAAACTGCTCAGAAAAATGAAAGCAACATTTGCGCAGTATTTCAGCACAAAAGACACGTGATATTTTGTTATATAATGCCATAACAAACAAGCATTTTTAAAAGTGTCACTGTTGGATCACTGTTGTTGTTGTACTGTAATCCAGTGTAAATAGTACTACAAGCTAAATGTTGTGGCATTCAGATGAAAAAAACTGCAAAACATCTTACCTTGGCCAAGTGTGAATTAATCCACTTTGTGAAAGTTCTTTTCTGCACCGCCTCCTGTTCATCTGCAAAAGACAGAAACACAATAAGTGAGCAGATATGATTTACTCTTCAATATCCAGTGAGATATTACGCTTTCTTCTTCATTCTACTCAGTCATCATGACTAGCCTGGCTATTTTCTTATATTTGTGAGGATTACTACTGAATACTGTACATTTTCATTACTGTAAGTCTACAGAGCTAGAGAGGAGATATTCACCAGCACAGGAGAGCTGAGAGTCCACACGTGGCATGAGCAAAAACATCAGAAACATGTGCCAATTTTCCCATTATTACATATACTCAGCATAAATAACATAAATGCAGATTTTACACAGACGCACACAGATATGCTCATCATTTTCATGTATGTGCAAACCACAAGCTCTCAAGGAGATTATTTAACTAAGAAAATGCAAGAAATGCAAAAGTCACAGGGTGGTTGTTAAAGCATTGCTATGCAGCTAGGACTTTCTGAGCGATTGCCAGGCTGTCACTATGGATTTGCGTTGCTATGCCATAGCTAGCATGTTTTGAGCAGTTGCCATACTGTTACTATGGATTTATAAAGATTTGTGTTGTTATGCAGCTATAAAGTTTTTCTATGTGGTTGTTTAGATGTGCTGGGTGGTTACCAGGGTGTTGCTATGCAGGATGTTCTATGTTGTTGCCATGGCAGAGCAAATAGTCTGCAAAAGTGTTCTGGTGGTTGTCAGGGTGTTATATGCTAACATAAAGATATTCTAAATGGTTGTCAAGGCACTGCTATGCTAGAATGTACTATGTGGTTGCCAGGGTGTTGCTATGTTGTTCCTAGTGTGTTCTAGGTGGTTGCCAGGATGTTGCTAAGCAGTTGCAATGGAATTCTGTGTGGTTGCTAGGCCTTTGCTATGCAGCCATAAAGATGTTCTGAGTGGTTGTTATGGCATTGCTATGGAGTTGTTAGGATGTTCTGTGTTGTTGTCAAGGCACTGCAAAGGTATTTTGAGTGGATGCCAGACCGTTGCTATGCAGTTGCAAAGGTACTCTATATGGTTGGCAGGAAGTTTCTATGCAGCCATAAAGATGTTCTGAGTGGTTGCTAGGATGTTGTTATGTGGTTGCTAGAATATTCTGTGCGGTTGCAAGGGCAGTGCAAAGTCGCTGCAAAGGTGTTGGAGTGGTTGCCAGGGTGTTGCCATGCAGTAGCAAAAGTGTTCTAAGTGGTTGCCAGGGTGTTGCCATGCAGCCATAAAGATGTTCTGAGTGGTTGTCACGGCATTGCTATGAAGATGCTAGATGTTCTGTGTGGATTCCAGGGATTTGCCGTGTAGTTATTAGTGTGTTCTGAATGGCTGCCAGGGTGTTGCTATGCGGTTGCAAAGTTGTCCTAAGTGGTTGCCAGGCCATTGCTACACAGTTCTAAAGATGTTCCGAGTGGTTCCTATGGTGTTGTGGGTGCTGCTAGGTGGCGTCAACCCCAAGTTTCTATAATATTCTACTGATTTTTTAATTGTTTGTAAGGTGAAAAAAGTTTAATACTGTAACTATTTAGTACTGTTCAAATCACCAATCCTAAGTATGAGCAATAGTACTAGAGATGCTTGACTTCACAAACAGCAGGAATGGAAGTTTGTGACATCTGTTAACACAATAGACAAATCTAGCAGAGCATTTTTAGTCACAGATAAGGTCATTCAGGTCACCAACAAAAACCCACCAGACATATTTATGCATGATGGGCTCAGACAGATCAGTGATTTTCACAACATACAACATCCTATGTTTGCATGCATGTACTAATGCAATGCACGGGGCATGTTTAGGAAGCATCCAAGTACTGTAGCACACATGGCATGCCGTTGCAGCCTTAAGCACACCACAGCCGTCATAAGCCAACATGCGCAGCTGTAAAGAGGTTCGCATCAGCACTCGTGTTCAGCAGTGACCCCGTGCCAACAAAGTGATTACCTCTCTCGAGGAGTAAGATGAGGAAGACCTCAGCTGGCCAATAATGTCTAGTGAGCCATATGACCCAGAGACGTGTCACTGCATATCTGGATCATGGTTTCACCTACATTTAGCGGAGTACAGACTACATGTAAATCTGAGCTATAGGCTCCCACACTCCAGTCGGATGAGAGGAGACATCGATGTCTCACTTACCACGGAGATACTGAAAGAATCCCGTCACCAGATTCAGAGATGTGGTCTTTTTCACGGCTACGTCCTTAAAATGAGCCATTGTGTGCCCTGCATTTGTTTCTTTGTGTCCTTCATGTGTGAAAGTGCGCAAGTGTCATCCAGGGAGGAAAACCAGATCAGCTATCCTTTATTTCCTCCGGGAAGCAGAACAGAGCAGGCGGAGGAGCTTTCCGTGTGAAAGCACAGCGCGACTGAGTGCTGGAGGATGAAACCTCCCCCTCCTCTTGTTGTCTCTCTCCCTCTCCCTCTCCCTCTCCCTCTCTCTCCTCCGCTGTGGATAGGCTGCTAATCGAGGGCCGTTTTTATGAGCTAGGCGACTTCCTGTTGTTGGTGGAGCTGGGGAGTCGTGCTGGTGTGGATGCTCCATTCAGGTCTGTTCTAGTTCTAGCAGCATCCCACAGCTGCAGCCATACTAACCGGCTATGGCACTGATCGGCCAATCAGCACGCGGGGGGGCTGTGATGTCACCGGGCAGCTGGTGTTATCCTGATTTATATGGGTGGGTGGGGGTCAGTACTTGTGCTACACAGCTTGAACTCCACCGGGCCTCCACTACAAGCACTGCAGACACCCTAATGCAGGAATGGCTTAACAAATAATCAGATTCAATGCAGTCCAGAATGCTATACAACAAAGGACTTATGACATGACACAGTTACTCTGGGTTTGAATGTGTTTGCATGTCTAAGTAAGAAACAAAGCAAACAGAAAGTGGATTTTTCTGTCTTTACAATGACACATAAAAAGATGTTAATACATGTTTCTGGTCTTATTGTGTGCAATTTATTAATTAAACATTATTACGGGTGTTTAATGAGGCAAGAATCACTATATTGCTTCGCATTAGTGATTTGAACAAATGACTAACACTTAGGCTAGTATTAAACTTTGAACCGTAATTTATCTTACAGCATTTATTATGAAGCAGCACAACTGTTTTCAACATTGATAATAATAAGAAAAGTTTCTTGAGCAGCAAATCAGCATATTAGAATGATTTCTGAAGGATTATGTGACACAAGACTGAAGTAATGATGCCAAAAATTCAGCTTTGCACCCCAGGAATAAATTACATTTTACAAAAACAAAATAGTTATTTTAAATTGTAATATTTCTTCATTATTTTATCACCTTTACTATGTGATCTAATAAATGCAGCTTTGTTGCACTTTTGAATGGCAGTACATTAAAAGTAAATGAGTAAATCAAGCTCCACTATTTTCACATTTAATATTCTGTTTTATTCAGACATACATTTATGGAGTTATGTTGACTTTAAATCCTTTAAAGTCTTTTTAATTTTGTACGTGTCTATGGCAAAAGTCATTCATATCATAAACGCAATCATACTAAATAACACATGCATTATTTGCAAATGGCTATGAGGCAACTGGGAACCAACTGCACTCAAACTATTGAATCATTTATGTCACAGCCAGTGCAAAGCATCTGCCACCTGCTACGGTGCAGTCAGTGACTATATCACTCTATTATTCCTGACCATCACCCACACACAGCATGAGTTCTACACAAACCCAATCCATCACACAACATACTTATTTACATCCTGATATATATTTAATTGTGCAATTATAAGACCATCTTATGACCAGAAACGGACATCCCCAGTGTTAAGTCTTGATCTTCCAGGCATCCACTGCTTTGTGTTGTCTTGTTTAATAAAACACACTTTATTAAATTACTTAATTCAATCCCATGTTTTCGTGCACTGAAACATAAGTGCATATACAAATTATAACTGTTCTTTCACAAATCCACTTATAGGAAAAATCCATTATCTCACCGCTCACTCACCGTGGCATAGCTCAGGTATTTATATCTCAAAAAGTCTTTTGTGTTAAAGATCGAGGAATGTACCTCAAACTGTTTTAGTCACAGAAAATAATGTAATCCGTGAAAAAAAGTGCTACTCCCATCACATGCTCATCTAATGAGTCACAATTTGTTTCTATTAGTTAACAGGGTTAAAGCTCAGGGATCTTTAAAACAGATTAAAAAGTCCTGACATTGTGTGGATTAGAATAAGGTGAGAAAATGTATTGTATTTATTATATCTAGCATACATAATATATATATACATTTATATAGACAGACAGACCGACCGACCGACCGACAGACAGAAAGAGAGACAGATAGACAGATAGATAGATAGATAGATAGATAGATAGATAGATAGATAGATAGATAGATAGATAGATAGATAGATAGATAGATAGATAGACAGAAAGATTATAGCGCTGTCCAGTCCTGAAATATTATCGCAAAATAATGTAAAGACTTTCAGGATACAATACAGAGTTTAAGGCTAAAATTTGCAAAAGTCCCACAGTTCTCCATCAGTAATCAATGGATGATCATTAGTGTTTAGCATCTACAGTCAATTCCAGTGCTGCAACATGACAAACTGGATTGTTCCCACTATAATCAAAAAAGCAGCTTTATTGATGGTCTTTTTGTAGCACTGCCCACTTGCACTCACACCCAGTGTTGAGAATTAGAGTTAATTAAGTATTAATGAATGTACAGTCACTTTCGGTCTACACACAGAAATAAGAGAAACAAGTGAGTGGAGCATCTGAAATTTAAATGAGTGCGTTCAGCACAAACTCGGGACAGATGATATCATGGGCAACAGGTCAGATGTTGCTGTCATCTGTTGAATGGAGTGCAGTCTTCAATACTCTACACATCACTCTTGCAGTTTCAAGAGAGAAATGCAAACGCTGATTTTGTGCATTAGGCCAAAAAAGGATACATTTAAGATATTTAGAAAAAACACTGAAATAGTGCCATCTAGTGTCCTATTAAAAACATTCTGTGACCACATTAAATGGCCTGCATCTATATTCAACCATCTATTTTGATCAATGTAATAATGATGATAGTCAAAATAACTCACCTGTATTTACATAGCGATTTTTACAATACAAAGCAGCTTTTCAAAGCAGCTTTACAGTGTTAAACAAGAAAATTGTCACGAATCCTGTCCATGGACTTCTGTTCGATCGCCACCAGAGGTCACCCTTCCGTTACATTGACTCTCACACTACACAGACTGTTACACATCACCCTGGACTACATTTCCCATGCTCCATTGCACTAATCACAAGCTCACCTGAAACCCATCACATACAGCTGCTACCAATAACACACACTATATAAGTATGTGTTTAGAATTGTTTAGTGCTTATCGTCACGTCAGTGATAGCAACGTTATGGAGCCATTACCGAGTTTTGTCTAGTTGCTAGCTCTAGTCTAGTCACAGCTAGTTTTGTGCCTGATTGCCTGTTTCCTGATCTCCTGCCTGTCTTGGATTCTTCTTTTGCCTAGCTCTCTGGACATTGTTTGCCGATCTCAGACCCACGTTAGCTTTTGGATTACTCTTCGTCTTGTCTCTTCTATTACTGTTTGCTGTGTATCGACCCATGCCTGTTTCATGTTATCGTCACGTCAGTGATAGCAACGTTACAGAGCCATTTCTGAGTTTTGTCTAGTTCCTAGTTCCTAGTTCCTAGCTCTAGTCTAGTGATGGCTAGTTTTTTGCCTGATTGCCTGTTTCCCGATCTCCTGCCTGTCTTGGATTCTTCTTTTGCCTAGCTCTCTGGACATTGTTTGCCGATCTCAGACCCACGTTAGCTTTTGGATTACTCTTCGTCTTGTCTCTTCTATTACTGTTTGCTGTGTATCGACCCATGCCTGTTTCATGACCACGCCTTTAAATAAAAGCATGCAGATGGATCCGCACGTCTCACATCTCTGTCGCCCCGTAACAAAAATAGTGTTTCCATGATGCAAACAGATTTCAATTTTGCTGTTAAGCAGCTCTAAAAAGCAGCTCATTATTCAGCTGAAATCAGTTCATTGTTGATAGTGGTACCTTTAATGATAGAAAGCATTAAATCAGAATCAGGTTTGAGCATTTAACTGCTGTAGACATAACACGTGAACACATTTCTCATTGTTTTAACAATATATTGAAACAGTTACGGATCTAACACCAACAGTTTTATAATTCAATCAAGACAACAACCTTCTTATGCAAACTTTGTCTCAGTAAAACAACAAGATCATTTGTCGTTGGAGAGATTTCATCTGATATGTGTCTAAAGGAAATGGCTGCTGTATTAAAATCATTCGTGCCAATGAAAGGAAGATGGCAAAAGGTTTTACCACACGCTCGAAACAGGCATGCGCCAGTCACCACCACGGAGAGGGAAACCAAAAGAAGTTACTCTGAAAACAGTAACCACAGACCTTCTGTCGCATACACCACACATCGCCTTATTCACAGTTGATGTGCCAAGTTAACTAGCACACACCTCTTCTGATGTGCAAAATACATTTGACCACATGCATGAACACATAATTCACCTTATATGCAATTACTGTGTCGCCATCAAATACCAAATCTACTACGCTGCAAATAAAACCAAATTGCACAACAGAAACTTAACATGCACTTTAAATCATTTTTACATTAAATGTGAGTAATGCATGCCGGTGCAAAATTTACCGCCAATTTACTAGGGTGATCTGGATGGTTGGTAGGGTGTTGCTATTCAATTGCTAAGGTGATCTAAGTGAGTTTTATACTGTATGTGGGAGGGTTAGTTGGGTACATTTTCATCTAACTAAACAGAAATCATTTAAGATCACCTACACTAAAGCTGAAAATGCATGACTGACATAAAATTTTGGCGGTAAAAACAGAAGTGCAAGTTATCACGCATGTGTAACTTCCTTCCTGATGTGTTTGAATACTAAGTTCCTCTCTGTAGCTTAATTTATACTTCTCGTTTCGTCTTGAAGACTTTATGAGCATGTGGGCATTGCCATGGTGATAAGAAACAAACATGAATTCTCTACAAGGAAATAGTTCAATATCCTCTATACAGGTTACATAGGAAATGCATTAGAGGCTTTGAATAATTGCATGCGCCACACTCTTCCATCCCTGATCATCTTTGACTATTCATCAAGAGTGTTTTTCATGAGTTTTTAAGGACAGGATTGTGAGTTTTCGTACGTTACTGTGAAAACGAAACCTTCACTAGTCATAAACAGATTAAATCTTAATGTCAGCCTGACATTTAAGTTGACAATGTAGTGTCTTAAAACACCTTCCTGGTCTTATTGTGCATCAATGCATGTTATTTTAAAGACAAAATAATGTTTTTCATTTCCTCCCCTACAACCTCATGCCATACAAGCACGCTTCACCATCCAATCCAATCGATTTAATAAAATCAAGCCGCATCCTACGTTTTCTCTCAAAATATTATATTATGAAAGTTTCAGACTGATTCACATTTATTTTAAATGAACATAAAAATGAACTTTTTATTGAATTAATCACGTCGGGAGGGACAGAACAGAAATACAGCATCACCTACCTTGCAGCCTCTGCATCACATTCATAATGTCCTTGCTGGACCGTCCGAAAGGGCTGAGGGAAGCCATGGTCCCTCTCTACAGTCCCGTGCTCCTCTGACACCGGATCACTTATGCAGTCGGCACAGTAGACAGAAGATACTGCACTACTTTCTTAAGGGGGCATCCCCATCTGCCCCTCCTACAACTCTCTCTTCCTCTTGCTGCCTCTCTCTCACTCACTCACTCACTCACTCTCATGCAGGAACTTGATGTGGCCCAATAGAAAAGCAGGTTTCATATAGGTGCTCACCCAAGTAGTCGACCAATCAGAAGTCCTCTTCTATCTACATTCAGTGAACGGAGAAGGAAAAGTAACAACAAGGGTGTCAGGACAAAATCACATTGTAAAAAATACTTAGATGAGGTAACATATAAACTAACAGGTTTAACTTAAGCCAGATGTATACATTAATTATGACTAAATAAATAGGGTTGCAAACAAAATAACAATTTTAGTACCCTAACTTTCAGTTAGCTGCAGTTTTTCATTTAGTATTTATATTTTATTTCAGCTTTATTTCTATAACTAAAAACTATTTTTAGTAGTTTGAGATTTAGTTAACAGTTACAACACTACCACAGAAGAAATAGTCATACAGGCAATGGGTGAATAATGATGACAACGTTTGTATTTTTGCATGGACTGTCTCTTTAAGCATGCAAACTTGATGAATGATACTGAAGCACAAAGAAAAGTCATTTTTAAGAGTCAGCTCAAAACAGAAAACTGCACTTCATTCAACTTCATTGTGTTTCTATGTACTGTATGCACACTGTAGTTATGCTGCACATGCATGTTTGTACACAGACCACGCCCCTTTTACTTCACTAAAGTTGTTATTATTTATGTCAGTCTAATAATAATAATAATAATAATCTATGGACTTACTGACTGATTACTATTATATGGAAAAGAACTTTAGCTACAGGAGCTAGTCAATAATTAAAGAAGTGCTTGCCCACCAGGGATAACATGTCATCTTGCATTGTGTATTGCACATGAAATGCATGAAAGATTTGTATGCATATTAATTGTATGCACGTAACTAAGTGAAGACATCAGAAACTCAGCGACAAGATATATATCTGCTCTGCAGTCAAAAGCACGCATACAGATTACACAGGAAATCTACTGCGCAGATTTCCAAGAAAACCAGCCCTGATTTATCAGAATACATATTCTTTGGTTTTGTAAAGTTGTTCCGTGAGCAAAGTATTACCGTGAGCAGATGACGCTTCCGTTCCCGCAGGGCTCTGGTGTCTCAAGTGATGATGATGATGATGATGGTGCAGCTCTGTTACACGGGGTGCTATGGAAACCTTTAAACAATGTCGCAAGGCCGTGTTACTTCATGTGGCCTTTACCGCCACCTATCGGTGATGCAGGGAACAACAAGGGGGCGTTCACACAGCGTTCATGTGTTCAAAACATCAGAGCGCAAAGCGATGAAACAGAACGCAGTCTGTTATATAGAAAGACAGAAAGATGATAGAACGATATACCCTGTTAAATCAATCATTTCAAGATACTCTGGTATTGATGATTTATGCTCCTTTTGTAAAAATGAGAAAGAGGTGTTATCACATTTATTTTTTGATTGTAAAATTACCCAAAATTTTTTTGGAAGGAATTGGCAGAATTTATTTTCAATCTAGTAAAGGATAAATACTGCTTTTCTTTAAAGGATATTATTGTGTACTATGAAAACAATGTTGACAAAGGTCTCGAATACATTGTTAATTTATTCATATTGCTGGCAAAATGTTATATACATAAACAAAGGTGCTTAAATTCATCCCCAATATTTAAGGTATTTTTAGTGGAATTTGATTGTTTTATATCGCCTCTGAAATTGTTCAAAAACAAAAAGTCATTAGCATGTCTAAAATATTATGACATTATTTTCAGTTCCCGTTACTAATTAATGTCACACTTTATATAGCACTGATTGTCTTATGCTATGCTCTGTTTGTTATCTGTTCTATTTTCATTAATAAATAAAAAAAGATGATAGAACGATAGCTAGATAAATAGAACGAACGATAGATAGACAGAGAGCCACTAGCTACATCACAGGCTACATGGTTCAATAATGACATCTACTTTGTAATAAACTCAGAGCATGGATGTCTTCTCCATTGTTTTAGGACTAAATTATCCTTCACTCAAAAAATTTACACGACTAGTACACCAGGAGCTTTCAGTGACTGTTGAATTCGGACAGTACATATCCTCTCCCAGTTTCTTCTGAGACTGCATGCATCTTTAGGCAATTTCAGTTATAGTACTTAGAGGGTATTAGTAAGAATAATAATAATATTTGGTTTTCTGTTCGTGATGTGCCAGAAGGTACAGATACTAGGGCAGTAAGTACAGTGTGGCAAAAAAGTATTTAGTCAGCCACCAATTGTGCAAGTTCTCCCACTTAAAAACATTGAACTCTAGTAATTCCATATGTATTTAAGATTGTATTTAGTATATAATATTGATATTATATACTCAAAATTCAATAACCTTTCCATCCAGAGGAGCTCATCCTGGCGTTCTGCTTGTCGATATTAATTGGTCTGCTCATCGGGATCTTGATTTTCCTCCTCCTTACATGGATGTCAAGACGGAGCGCTTCTGTCAGGATCACCAGACGTCAAACCCCGCCGTCAGAATCTAAAGGCTCACGTAATCAGCACTGCCACCTCAGACACTACAAGAGTCACGGCTTCGACAAGAACAGTGAATCTGCGGGAAGAGCGGTTTTGTCCCTCCACAGACAGACCTCCGTAGACCCCAATGAGCTGCTGGGTAGAAGCCCTAGCTTTCAGAACTCCACTTTTCGTCCGCCACCAAAGAAGACTAAGAAGAACAGTGATGAAACAGAGGATAACCAAGATGCATTACTTCCTAACATCACAGATCCATTTAGTGCAGAACCAGCAGAGTCCTTCTGGCTGGGGAAGGGCAGTCTAAGAGGTTTCCTACCCAGACAGACTCCACCACCTGCTTATGACAGTGTCATTCACATCTTTCAAGAGTCCTGTACCTGACTGCACTGTGATAAGAGACAAAGGATTGTACATACATCTCAAAACACGGATAAAACGTGACAAAAGGGAATTTGTTTTTTTTTACGAAAGGCTTGTTCTGATTTGACAGGGATCCTGATTTAACACTCATTTGCGTTACTTTCATGGGTAACACTTTACAATAAGGTGCCATTAATTTGTGTTTATGCATTAACTAACAATGAGCAATACATTTATTAGTATTCTTTCATCTTTGTTTGTTAACGTTAGGTAACTAAAATACCACTGTTCATTGCTACACAGTAAAGAAAATTCAGTAAAATTTACGGTAAAAAACCGGCAGCTGTGGTTGCCAGAATTTTACCGTAAAAAATACGGTAGCAACGCTTTTAGGTTTTACGGTTTTAACTTAAATTTAGTTAAATACCGTAATTTCATTAACTGATATAATGTTAATATATCAACCTATTGAAGTACTGAAAACTGTACCTTTGTAATACACTGATAACCACCAAATGCAGGTGGTGATGAGAAAGTCACATGATGAACCAAAGCCCATCACAAGCAGCTTTAAATAATAACATATATAGAAGGTGCACAGTGTCATTCACACAAACACTAAACACCATCATGGTAACACACATGAAACTGAAATAATGCAATAAACATTCATTTAACAACATTAGGTGTAACACACAACTCTAATATACAAAACTGATAAGAAAAAACTAAGAAGAAACAGTTATTTCAACAAAAAAAACATCAAATTTTGTTGATGTAAAAATGTAACGTAGGGAATTCTGGGAATGACAATTTACGGTTATTCACTGTAAATTATACGGTCTTTTTCCACTTCCAAAAATGGTATACTACCGTACAATTTATGTCCAATACATGTAATGTCCAATACAGTTTTTCACCGTATATAGTAGGGGAATTTACCATTAACCATTTAACAGGTTTTTACTGTAGCATTTTTACAGTCTTTTACCATTAAATTCACGGTCATTTTTACAGTGTAGCTCATGCTAGCTCAGGTTCATTAAAGAAATAATAATAAATATAAGAGATATGTTTGATTTGAATAATTTACAGACACTTTTATCCAAAGCGACTTACAAAGAAGGAAGCTGTTCGTAAAAGAGTCAACAATAGTCATTATACACAATCCCAAGTTTAACAAGACAAGTAGTTTAGTATGTATACGTTGAAATTAACATTCACTAAGATTAATAATTGCTCTAAAAATATTATTATTGTTAGGTTATGTTTTTAATTCATGTTAACAAATTGAACCTTATTGTAAAGTGTAACCCTTTTCATGCAGTGGTGTAAAAATGTTGAATTGAATTATTTTTGTGTTTCTTAGGATAAACCCGGTCATTAAAAATAACAGATGCTTTAGCGCATCTATAGTGCATCTAAATCTTTACGTTCTCTAGTCACTGTTGGTTTTGGGTGTTTGCTTATTGAATTGAAGTAGTGAAGTAAAGCAAAGCACAAATAAAAGAAGACTAACTGATGCTGAAAACAATATATGTGGTTATCGCATCATTAGCAACGAGTTTCACAAAGTATTCAACAGTCTTGGTCAATGTGACACATGGCTGTCTAAAGCTATGTGTACTTTGAATCACCATGGTACTGAATGATTGCTGTATTCATATACCACAGTACATGCAGTACTTCACAATACATTTTTTAAATCACGGCAATTTCATGGCAAGATAAAGAATATTGTATACTTAATTCCAGTGTTGGGGAAAGTTACTTTTAAAAGTAATGCATTACAATATTGCGTTACTCCATAAAAAAGTAACTAATTACGTTACTTTTATGGAAAGTAATGCGTTACGTCACTTTTGCATTACTTTTTAAATCTGGACAGGGCTTGCTTGTTTGTTTTTAAAATAAAACATATCTATTTTTGGCAAATATAAAAGCCTTTTCACACCAAAAGTGAAATGAATAAGCCTCGGGCTAAAGGAAATTTAAATTTACGTCCGTACAGTAGAATGCAGAAGAAGAAATTTCAACACTCTTCAGCAATAAAAAA